CCTATACACTCCAAGGACAGTGGGATTTGCATGCCCTACATGAAGTGCAGGCTTCGTGGTTAATCTATGGTGTGCTGACCTCTCTAGGCTGCTGTTTCATCTATAAAATCAGAGTTGGCCCAGACCAATGGTTCTCAACTGAAGGTGATTCTACCCCCTCATTTGGGCAACTCTGGAGATATTTCTAATCATCTCAACTGGAGTGGGGGTGCTGCTGGCAGCTAATGCATAGAAGCCAAGGGTGCTGGTGCACAAAACAGCCCCCACCACAAAGCATTATGGTCAAGAGTACTGAGGTTGAGGAACCCAGGACTAGACAGTTGGCTATACATTATAGCTCAGGAGGATAAGGAAAAAGCCATAACTACCCCTAAACTGGACTCTACCCTAGATTGATGGAAACAGAACTGCCAGGTTGGGCTTCCTTAGCTTTGGAATCACACGCATTCACTCTCTTGCACCTTCATTTAACATTTATGGAGCACCAGCTGTGTGCTTAGCTCAGTGCTGATTTCTTTCTGGGAGAAAAAAGATGAATTCCCCATAGTTTTTGCCCTCAGTCAGTTCAAATCTAATAGTTGTGATTTTGAGACTCATCAGACTATGACTGAGCCAATAATTGCCTTCATGCTTAGTTAGAAGACCACATGTTACAGTTTTCCTCTGACCTGAGTGAATGTAACCCAAACTCCAAAACAGAATTCCTTGAACCACACATGGAAGGAACCAGGGCCCCTGAGTGTCTTCATAGAGCAGAGCTTCTCCCATTGCAATAGAGTATTTAGTAAGCAAAATAATTAATAATAATAATAATAATAATAAACCTTTATTATGTTTGGGGGAACAAAAAGAGTTTCTTGACCAAATGTTTTCTAGCTAAGCTGAAATACTAAAAAATAACATAATAATCAAGATGTTGCTCATGGCATTTGGCATTTCAGGGCACTTCGCAATCTCATTTCACCTTGTCCAAATCTGAGGCTGGTTCCTATTCTCTAGAGGATGGATCAGAGGTTTCTGGGAAACCCCCGGCCAACTCAGCCCCCCAGGCAGCATCCTTGTTGCCATAGCTGGGCTTCCCCCACCACCTCCAGATTGGGTCTGTGTCTACAGATCAGCATCTGGGCGAAGTGAGTGAATGTCATGCTGGGTTTTCAGACCTCCCACCTGACTTTATCTACTGCCTTCTGGATTCTCTGTGTTCCAGAATAACATATTATGACAGCCTGAACAATTCAGATGCTCTGTAGGTCTTTCATGAGACATAGAAATTGGAGACTTCCCAATTCCCATCTTCTTCAGGATAAAAGACTCTACTACTTAAATTAAGCTGTTACCCCTGAGTGTACATTAAGAATAGAACCATTCTGGGGCACCTGGGTGGTTCAGTTGGTTAAGCGTCCAACTCTTGATTTCAGCTCAGGTCATGATCTCACAGTTCGTGGCACCGAACCCCATGTCGGGCTCTGCACTGACAGTACAGAGCATGCTTGGGATTCTCTCTCCCCCTCTCTCTCTGATCCTCTCCCCACTTGTTCTCTCTCTCTTTTTTTTCTTTCAAAATAAAATAAACATTAAAAAAAAAGAATAGAACCATCCTGAAATATGGAATATTCTTATATCCCGGTCTCCTCTGCTCCCAGTAGAAAATCCATAAAGCTTTAATTAGTCCAAACCTTCAGGGTTTACAAAATACATACACTGTGCAAGATTGTTCTATCCATATCGTAATTCCTGGAGTTAACGGAACAACCAAATTAAACAGCCAGTTGAATAGCTTTTTTGAGCCAATGACTGAATGGACCATCTGTTTGTTGACTTTATGAAGTTTTATAGTCCAATGCCTTCATTTGTTCTTACTGGATCTTCTCTAGCAGCCTCAGGACTTGGCAAAGCTGAGAAATCAGTAAAATTAGTCTTCACTGGTCTTGTCCCTTTTTAGGTCTTCCACCTCACCAGGAACCCAGGGGCGTGCTGTGTCCTCAAAACATCTCCTAATTTCCATATCCCCTCCTCTAAGAGTTACAGTGGGAATCTCTCCATACCCTGTATTTTCCCACCCCATTAAAACTTAGTTTTGGCGCATCCCATCTTCTGCTTCCCATGGTGAAAGTAGGTCAGATCATAAGTAAGCGATTGAATTATCCGTTGTGAAAATGGACACATGAATGAATAAGAGTTGGAGAAAGTCCCCCCCACCCCACCCCACCCCAAGTGTTCGTTATCTTCTATGTGATGTGTACACGTCAGCAGCGTTCTAGGGATGAACTATTTTAAACCAAAGGAGCAACTCTAATGGTACGCATTTTAGTCCACACAGCAGGCCAGAAGAGGAGGGGTTGGGGGTAGGTGGAGAAGCTTAGGGGTAGATGAAGCCTACTTCTGAGCCCCCTACTATGTTAGCCATCACCTCTTCTAGCACAGGACCGAAACACAGGAGCTGCAATGCCAAGGAAGTGTCACCAAGAATCTTATATCTGATAATGCATTCTGCACTGTCTAGGACCTGAAAGGGAACGTTATATATCTGGGGTCCTAAGCACCCCCATTCTGATCACAGCATCTAAGAGGAATTGGCTGGGTTCTTGGAAGATTTCCTCCTTCTGCTCCTTTTCCTACTTCTGTACAGATGAAGAACAGTACTACCCAACGTGCCTACTGAACCCAAGCTCCGTGGTCAACCAGGCTGGTGTTTCATCCCGTGGTACTGAAGAAGCACTTCCTCTGCACGGCCCATTGGTTGATGCCCATTTTCTCATGTCTGGTCCCTGGAAGGCACAAACAACAGCAAATCCACATCCTCCCCATCACAACCCTTCGTATCCTAGGAAACAGTCCTGATCGAAATTAACTTGCTGAAATATGTGCCTTTCCCCAGTTAAGCTTACTTCACAAGAAAAAATGCTTGAGTTCAACAAATCACTAAGCCAAGGACACAACGTTTTCTCTTCATGAGGAAAAGCAGATATCCCATTAAAGAAATAAATTACTTGGTTGCATTTAGTTTGTATTTAAGTGTCCTGTTGCTAAATATTCCTTGGCTAGGAAGCTCCATCATTCCTGTTGGCTAGTGGGTTGGGATAAATAGCCTCTTGCCTGGAACTGTAGACTGCTAGCTTTGAGCACTGACTCTCTTGAGGCCAATAAGGCAAGTCTCAGTAGGTACACATTGGATTCTGGAGCTTGTGTTTCAATATGTGGATCAAGGGTTTTGTTTCCAGACAAGGATGGGGGATTAGTACTGCACTGGCTCAAAGTTCATAGAGACTTTGATCTCTAGTTTGTAGACTCCATTAATTGTTACCCAATCACTGTCTCCACTGGCTCTTTTTTCATTGCATAGAGGCAGTTTTGTCTTTTCCATTAAAAAAAAAACAAAAACAAAAACCTGTAACCCCAAACCTCTTCCAGCCCTGCACAGAAAAGTGATTTCCTTCTGTATCTCTTGTCAATTACTCTTTTTATTCTTCTGCTTTCCTTCACAGCCAAGCCTCTTCAATGTGGTCTACACTGGCTGTCTCCCTCTTTACATCTAGCTCACAAAACAAAGCATTGCAATCTACCTTGGGCTCCCACCTGTGAACTGCACCTTCTCTCAGCTCTTTGTTGCTAAATGCAGTCTTATTTTGCTGAAATTTTGGGTAGCATTTAAGCCTCCTCAAAGTTCTTACAGACATGAGTTTCCAGGACACCACTTCCTTGTGGTTCGCTCCAACTGCCTGGGCCTGTTCTTTCTCAATCTCCTTTGCCGTCTCCGCTTCTGCCATTCCCTTCATTACAAGGTGAGTCTCTTACCCTCTTTTTCTCCCAGTCTGCACAGCTTTTCTGGCTGGAGCCAGCCATCGCTGGCTCCATGCTCCAGCTGGGACCTCTCTGCTGAGATGCAGACATAAATATGTCACTGCCTTGGGACATCGCTTGTGTCCAAAACAGCTGGAATCATCCCTCTTCTCCCCACACCGTTCTTCTTCTTCCATGTGCTTATTCTCAGTGAATGGTAATACTGTACATCTGAGATCAGCCGAGAAATGTTGGGGTCATCTCTGACCTCACATCCAACCACTAACAAAGGCCATTTGACTCAAACTCCTTAGAAAGTTCGAATCCCTCTCCTACTTCCCATCACTGATGCACCATGGCTGTGGCTTTACCTCATCTCTCCATCATCTTCCTCTGATTAGTGTCCCCTCCTCTGATTCTCCGTTAGTCTCCCCTCCTCTGATTTTGCCTTCATCTAATCCATTCTTCCCACAGCTTCTAAAATGATCTTTCTGAAGTTCAGAAATATAAATCTCATCGGGTAACTTACCTGCTTGAGATTCATCACCGGCTTTCCATTGCTCTCAGAAGAAAACCTAAACTCCTTCCTCTAACCTTGAGAAGACTGTGCAGGAGCTGGTTCTCCACCCCTACTCCAGCCTCACTTTTCACAGTTCTTGTTCTCATTCTTCAAGCCCTACCCACACTCAAATATTTGCCTTCTACCTCTTCAAGAGCCCCACAATGTCTCACGTGGTTGCTGTCAAGGTGTTGGCCAGGGCTGTGGCCATCAGATGGCTTGACTGGGGCTGGAGAATCAGCTTCCCAGTGGCTCATACACATGGTTGGTAAGCGGTGCTGGTTGTTGGTAGGAAGACTCAGTTCTGCCATGTGGGTTTCTCCACAGCCTGCTGAAGTGTCCTCACAACATGGCGGTTAACTTTCCCCAGAGGGAAAGAGAGAGCAAGAGAGACAGAACCAGGTGGATACCATGCTCCTGAGGACCTAACTTCAGAAGTCACATAGCATCCCTTCCTCCATATTCTTTTTATTAGATGCACACAGCTAAGTCTAGCTCACGTACCAGAGGGAAGGGAGAAATTAGACTCTGCCTTTTGAAGGGAGCAGTGTTGAAGAATTGGCACACATAGTTAAAAATCTCTACCAAGGCTGACAACAAAGGGATGAACTTTCCCAACCCATGACAGGTGTGGAATATAGTCTAGGGAGTGGGGAACATGTACTTTCCAATAAATTCCATGGCAGCAACAAGATCTCAGGTTAGATACCAATAGGGCTGGAGTTCTTTACAGAAGGGAGGCAGTGAGTTTTCTGTTTCACGGAAGGAAAGGTAATTATCGGGTAAAGCTGTGTGTAAGTACCAGCTCCATCACTTACCTGCTGTGCGAACTTGGTAATTGTAATTGTTCCTCTGTGCCTCTGTTTTCTCATTGTATCACAACATAAAAATAGTGTGGTTTCCTCAGAGGATTCTTATAAGGATTAAATAAAATAATCTATGGATGTATCAAGATGGCCCTAGGAAGAGTGTGGATGACCACAGGCACATACTACCTGAATGGTCAATTGCCAAGTTTCCCCTGGTTTATCTGGATAAGGATCCAATGGCCAGGCCCCAGATGACCTTGATATTCATAACCACATGGACTCCATCACGTATTTACCCATATCTGCTTTTTTTGCCCCCCAAGGTCAATTTCTTCATCTTCCTGAAAATTGTCAAGCTTCTCATTTCTAAGCTCAAAGCCCATCAAATGTGCTTCAGAGATTATAAATACAGGTGAGTGGCCTGAGGTCAGTACCCAATGGTCCAAGATTATTTTGACCCCTTCGGGCTGTCCTGGTTAATGCTCTGGGAAGAGGGGCATGAGTTACATCAGTATGTCTATCTCCTAAGATAAGAGTATCTGGAAGAGACCCTCTTAAAAGGTGTCGTGGTGTCGTGTGGGGTTTTTGCCACTGATAAGGACCTTCTGGCCCCGTGGAAATGAAGCGAGTAGTCAAGGGTACACATTTCCCGTAGCAGGAAGCTTAAAATGCCCCTAAGAATGGGTGGTTGAGCCATTTGGGTGAGCCAAAGGAGGGGCTCTAATGGTAAGGATTTTAGTCCCCGTGGCAGGTCACAGGCAGAGATGTGAGTGGGGACAGCCAGAGCTCTGTTTCTCTCTAAGGCTAGAATCGGGTCTGACCCACACGTGCTGGGAAGGTGGTTTTCCTGTTTAGCTGACAAACATTTAATGAACGCCTACCATGTGCCTGGCACTGAGCTTGGAACAGAAGAAAGGTACTATGCAGACCCGGTCTGCAAAGACCACACGTTCCAACCCCAAGGACTAGTATATTGGCGTGAACGTGCATCAGGGAGGCTGGTGCTGGCCACGGCTCCGGATTCTCTGAGTGACCTTGGGCAAGTCACTTGGCCTCTCTGGGTCTGATTTCTGGTGTGGAGAATGGGAATGTCACATGAGACCCATCTCTTGCCTGTTGGGAGGACCGAAGAAGGTCATAGATGTGGGTTCTCAGTCTAATCAGATGTGGTGAGTGGTGTTTGCCCAGGATCCAGACCCCAAGTCCTATCTGCTTAAAACCCTTCTTCCAGGAGGTCCCGAAGGGTAAACACGCATGGTTCCACACTGGCAAAATATATGCTATAATTGGCCCAAATATTTTGCAAACACCCTTATCCCCAGAGTACTTGGGCTGGCTTGGACAACACAGAGCCACGCCGACTCTCTTGGCGCCTCTGGTGGAGACTCTAAGTGGCTCAAAGTTTCTTTGGCCCTTTCCCAAGGCTCAGCCTCCAACTGTTCTGTGAGGGTGGAGGTCCGAAAGCATAGTCAGAGCTGTTCTAGTCCGCCCACTGAGGGTCCATTCAGGGAGGGCAGCCCTCTCACCAACCAGGTGCCAGGGACACTGGGGCATCTGGGAAACTGGAAAGAGAACATCGTTCCCCACAGACAGATCAGGGAGCAGACAGATCCCAAGACACCACTCTCCATGCAGACTGAGAGCCTGCACCCTGCTATTTGGTGGCCCCAAAGCCCACCATGTACCACTGGGGCTCTCCCCGTGCTCCAGACCCACAGTGCCCCTGCAGTAACTTTCCATTCTGGCTGCTTGTGTCACCTGACAGCGAGCCTAAAGGATAGACTCGTGAGTCTCCCCACTGGATATTCGGACTCAGTAAGTGCGACATGCCCCCCCCCCCCCCCCCCCCCCGCCATGTGGACTCCTTATGGAGCTCCCCAAGAGATTTTGATACACAGAGTGCAGGACCTCTGCCTCAGATGCCCTAGTGAAATAATGCGTGGAATTTTCTGGTGGGGCCGTGGCAGATGTGTTTCTAAGCAGCCTCAATACCCCTTTTTGCAAGGTCTCCTTTGGAGTTATCCAAGATGGCGGTCTCTAAACTTTCCTGATCATGCATCTTTTTCAGTAAAGAAATTTTGAGCATGCCTCTCATCATACGTACACATGGTCTGCTGAACTAATACGGACATTATAAAACACAAAAAAGAGAGAAAATTATAAAAGATAGATTAAATATTAGCACACAGAACTCCCTTTATCTTTCCTTCTTATATTTTCTCCTAATACCAAATGGATTGTCTTGAATATCCTTGAAGCGTACATGACCGATTGGGAACCAGTGATCTAGGGAATCGTAAATCAAGATACCGGGGAGACCCTCATGGCCAAGCCATGATTCAGGACAGCTATTTTGGGGGAAGAAGGGATAACCTGTCTGACATACACAATCTATCTGGAAGGTTCTCTTTTCCTTTCCCAACTCTCGGTCAAGGATAAAGCTTGAAAAGAGGAACCTGGGTGCAGGGCCACCTGGAGGCCCCCCCAGGGTGAGCCACCTCACCTTGGCAAGTTGAGCGGTACCACCTGGCGGCTGAGCTGGGGACCTATCAGTGTCCCCACGTGGCTGAGACTTTAGAGGGCCGACTCACACACCAACTGAACTCACAAGAGACAGATACATAAACCGGACTCTACAACTGTTCAATCTTAAGAGACCGTGGAAGGCAGGGGTGGGCTGAAACCTCCTTCTGGTGCTGGCACTCCTAGCTCCATTGGCAACAAACGATCCAGAAATCCAAAACGGTCACCAGAGTCTCACCGGCGTGAGTAGGGTGGTCGGTGGGAAGGATCACTCACTGTGAGCAGCCACCCTTGCCTGGCACAGCCACCTGCCTGGCGAGAGCAGGGTTCATTCCCCAGGGTCTCCACGTGTAGGGCTGGGTAAGTCCAGGGGACTTCTCACTTCTCAGTGATTTTCTCCATCATTTTGGTTGGCCATCAATTTCTCTTTACTTACCCTGTGTCCGTGCAGAGTACAGTACAATTAAGTAGCTTGTGCTCCTTAATGAGCAAAAATCCAGGCCCTGTCTCTCAGGGCACACCGGGCCACCTTACTTTACCGCCTGGGCTGGAGAATCCTCCAACGTCGATGAGGCAATTGCCCATTTTTCTCTCCCAACAGCGCTAACACCCTCATTTCTAAGTTCCATCACCCACGGTGGGTCATCAGCACCCCCAGCTCACACTGCCCTCTTCCTACATTGGAGGGGTCTCCCCCTCCCCCTCCAGGTCCCCCTCCAGCTTTGTTTTCTTTTGTCGTCCTCTGCCAGGGTGGGGAGGAAGAGGCAGAGGGACCCAGGGCATTTTGTCCAAACTCTGGTAGAAACGGGTCTGCCTCCACCTCTCCCAGATTTTGAGAACTTTCAGAACGTGGCTCTCGAGATTTGGCCCCCCTCCAGGAGTATATTTTAGGAAGGTTTAAATTAAATATATTTAGGTCTTGCCAAAAAGACAAGTGGCTAGGAGGTGGAGGAACTTTTGTAGTCCTAGCTCTGTCTCTGGGCTCCCACCATTCAGGCAGAGGAACGTTACGGGGTCCCCCTGCCTGGCCCGGAGCGGGAGAGCTGACCCAGGCCCCCTGAATGTGGACAGACACCTGCCGACGATCAGTGAGGTCTCTGATCTGTGTGGCTCCCAGCCTTCAGGCGACTGTCCCCCTGGAGGACCCGTCTTAACTCTGTGTGTGGTGTGTGGGCAGAGCTCTTGACGAATTTATAAAGGAGAATTATTTCTTAACCTGCTGGACCCCAGAGCCCTCTCTTAAAAGACTTTCTAGCAGGCAACAAAAGACAAAAAAAAAAAGTCACAAATGGAAGTAAAATTGATCATTGAGGCTACAAAGGCACCCCAGGGCAGGGATGGCTTCTTTATTTTTTTAAATTTAAATCCAAGTTGGTTAACATTTAGTTTAATAATGGCTTCAGGAATAGAATTTAGTGATTCATCCCCTATATATAATACCCGGTGCTCATCCCAACAAGCGTCCCCCTAATGCCCATCCCCCATTTAGCCCGTCCCCCCACCCAACACCCCCTCAGCAACAAAAATACAGTTTGTTCTCTGTATTTTAGAGTCTCTTATGGTTTGTCTCCCTCTGTGTTTTTACCTTATTTTTGCTTCCCTTCCCTTGTGTTCAGCTATCTTGTCTCAAATTCCACATATGCGTGAAATCATTTCGCTTAGCAGAATACACTCTAGTTCCATCCATGTTGTTGCAAATGGCAAGATTTCATTGTTTTTGATCGCCGAGTAGTATTCCATTGTATGTATACACCACGTTTTCTTTATCCATTCATCAGTCAATGGACACTTGGGCTCCTTCCATCCTTTGACTATTGTCAATAGCGCTGCTATAAATATCGGCGTGCATGTGCCCCTTCGAATCAGCATTTTTGTACCCTTGGATAAATACCTACTAGTGCAATTGCTGGCTCGTAGGGTAGCTCGGTTTTTAATTTGTTGAGGACCCTCCACACCGTTTTCCAGAGTGGCTGTACCAGTTTGCATTCCCAGCAACAGTGCAACAAGGTTCCTCTCTCTGAGAGTGTCAGATACCATGATTTTGAGGGCTTACATGTCATCTCGTCTTTTAAAATGACTGTATTATTATTAATAAATAATATCTTATTATGGTTTCAACACTTCTTATTATCAGCCGTAGAACCCTTGTTTTTACAGACGAGAGGTGAAATAGTCTGCCCAAAGCTACATGGCCAGTCACTGACGGTGCCGGGATTTGAACCCAGGCCCAGATGCTGGCCTGTGCTCTCTTTGATGGCGACTCTTCCTCTCTCACTGCGCTGACTCATGCTCAATAAATATTTGTTGGATGGCTAACGGACTGCAATAAGCCAAACAATTTAAATAAACAATTGGCCGTAGATGAAAAAATAAGCATAAATACGGTTCACAAGCGTAAACGGCGAAAGACATTTATGGATTTCCATTCGACCAAGGACATACACGGGGTTCTGTCTAAGCAGAAGTCAGAGCAAGGTGAGGAATGGGAAATCCCTTGACATCCATGGATCTGGTCATTACCAAAACCTCATAAAAAAGATGTCATTTTTTAAAAGATCATCCCATACTAAATGCAGGATTCTGGCACGTGCAGAGGACATCCGTGGGAAAAATTGGTGAAACCCGAATGGAATCCGGATGTATAGTTGTTAGTCACATACCAATGTTGGACAAATGGGCTGTGGTTAATACAAGACTAACATTAGTGGAAACAGTGAAGTTGTATGTGGGCACTCTCTGTACTATTTTTGCTACTTTTCCACACATCCAAGATTATTCCAAAATAAGGAGCTTATTCAAAGCACGTAATGGCATAGCGAGGCCCCGAGAATGATTTGAGAGTGAGACGCGGATCTGCACTCAGTATGTAAGTATGTGTCCTCGAAACCCAGATGACCGGAGCGAGGGTGGCAAACTGAGACACTTTCGGGGCCCAGGCGAGGAACTGTGGGTGAGTGGGGCAGACCGGCTGCGTGTCCTGGAACACATGTTCCCTCTAGAAAGAAACAGCCACCCTCAGGCCGGAGCCGACGGTCACCAAGCAAGAATTCGGGCCCCGTAGAGCCAGCTTCTCCCGCTTTTCAAAAGAAGCCGGAAATCTGGACCTCTGCTCAAACTCTCCTTACTTATTACTTAAAGATGGCTCCGATGACAAAAATCACCCTCTTCGCATAAGTAAAAACCGTCCGTCTGCAGGAAGAATACACCCTGTGGCCACCATTTCGCCATTGTCTGACCCAAGCATTTTAAAAATACTCCTGGAAATTAAAACACAAATATCTCTTGACCACGGGCCCGGGGGGCGTCCCCTCTGCTCTTTAATGGGCTTTAGGTCGTTTCGGGGCACAAAGGTGAGGGTTTTCTTGTTTCCTTGATAGCATTACACTTGAATGGCTCTCACGGGTACAGGATCCATACCAAGCACTTTCTCTTGGGCACAGTTAAACCTTCCTGAGGATACTGCCCAGGAGCTGCTGACACTCCAACATCTTTAAGTCCACGGCCTTCGGCAGGGGAGAGATTTCTCCAAGGCTGGCCCTTTAAGACAAGTGATTCGGGCTAAAAGTCATTACGATGAAACTCTTTTTTTCCAATGTGTATATACAAGACAGTAGCTCTGTTTGTACCCTGCATATGAGTCACTTTTGCTAATGTAGTTAGTTTTAAATTAATCTCAGTACTGAAAAGCAGTTGTTCCCAAATGTGGCTGCTTATCAGAATCCCATGAGGAATGCCTTAAAAATTCACATTCCCAGGACCGGACATCCAGAGGTTTTGACTCAGGAGGTCGATACCGGGGCCTAGGAAGCTAGCTGGCTCTATCTATTATCTATCTATCTATCTATCTATCTATCCATCCATCCATTTATCTATCTTCCTATCTTCAATGTATCTATCCATTTATCTATCTACCATCTATCTGTCTATCCACCTATCTATCTATCTGTCTGTCTATCCATCTATCTATCCATCCATCCATCCATCCATCCATCCATCCATCTATCATCTACCTTTTTAAGTTCCTTAAGGAATTCTAATGGTAAACCATGTTTGGGAACCACCGGTATGCGGTATGGAATGTTTGGGCCCCAGCTGTGCACTTTGCACGTGGGTGGTACAAAGGAATGTTTGTCTTTTTTACGTAGAGTATATACAACAGGAGCTTCCACACAGCACTTTTTATGAGGAGGATCAGTCTCTCATTTCCTGCAGCCCTTGCCGTCTTGGGGCTGAAGGGCAGCGTGGAGGCTAACGGTCAAGCCCTCCATGGAATGTGAAGGGTGTGAGTGTGAAGTCAGAAATCTTACTTCCAGGCCTGGATTTGTCACTTAGTAGCTATGGGACCCCAGACATGTCAGTTTCTTTCCCTTCTCAGGTTCAGTAAAGCACTGACGTTCGAAGTCCTGAATAGAGAAAGGAATAGAGGCACCTGCTAGCCAGGTAATCGGGTAATAGGAAATCTGTCAAATGTGGTAGTGCTGTAGTGTCCCAAGGTGACAGCCATGCACGTGGAAATCTATCCATCAGGCAAAACTTAATCTGATGTTTATAGATGATGATAGACTCATCATAATCTATATAGGAGAATTCATCCATCCTTTCATCCATTCCCTCAATTCATGTTTGTTTTCTGAACATCTGGCCACGAGTCAGGTGGAGGGTTTCGTCAGTAACCAAGACCACACTGGCCCTCAAGACATCCCATGTGTAGCCAAGGAGACAAACTGGAAGGTCAACTATTTATCAGTAGCATAAGAGCTACCATAAAGTCACACACAAAGAGCGGGAAACGTTGCCTCTTCCCAATGTGGTCCTCGTGACAGTGTTGTTGGTTTTCATTTGCAGATTGGCAAAGTCAACGCTGGTCCTCATTCCTTTGTTGGGCGTTCACGAGATTCTCTTCTCTTTCATCACTGACGATCAAGTCGAAGGATTTTCAAAACTTATACGACTCTTCATTCAGTTGACTCTGAGCTCCTTCCATGTAAGTAGGTGTCTGAACCAGGATTCCTGTGCTGTGGTGAAAACAAAATGCTCTTGACCCCAGCAGTCTCAGAATTGAGAAAGCCCACGGATGTAAATGAAGCCGTAGTGCCAGCGGGCTCTATGAGAGGGCCTTTGGCACTAGAAGAGTGGGCGGACCAAAAGCATTGCCTTGATCCTGCCAGCATGACTCAGTGACTAAGAAGCGAAAAGTGCTCTGTTTCCTGGGCGGTAAGAGTTGGTGTATCTCACAACCATATTAACCGTGAGTATCAACGCGAAGCCTTTCATTAAGTGTCTATTTTTGCTGGATTCTCCGCAGGGCACCGTACGAAACGAATGTTGTTTATGCTTCGGGTGGCACACTCAGAATGTAACACCACTTGGTAGGAGCCAGTGAGTTGAGACCAGGAGGCTCTTGAACCTAGACAGACATGTCAAGATGTGTCAGATGGGGCTGAAACAAGAGCCAAAGGCCAGCCGTGGTTCCTTCACCTGGATATTTTGGGTATCCATTCCTTAAATGGGCTATTCATTACCCCGTAGCTCACAACAGTGATGATTTTTATTATTTCTCATTATTCTGGGGACCAGGATTCCAGGTGGGGCACAGTTGGGATGGCTCACCTCTGCTCCATGCGTGCCTGCCTCCCGGGGCTGGAACTTCCAAGATGCTTCGCCACTCATATGTCTGGTGCCTGAACTGGGAAGGCTCACGTGGCTGGAGTGGCTTCATTTGGGTCGAATTTCTGGGGCTTCATTTCTCACTGCCAGCTACATTCCTCAGTTCCGTATTGTCTTAGGGCTTCTCTCTCACTACATGTTCTTTTTCCGTGGTCCTCCTTGCAGGAAAGCTGGAACTTCTTACATGGCAGTTCAGGGCTCCCAAGGGCACAAAAACAGGGACTTCCAGGCCTTTTATATGCCTAAGCCTGACACTTAGCAGTGATACTTCCAGTGCGTTTTAACATTTAAAGCAAATCCCAGACCCAGCCTGGACTGAAGGGGAGGAGACCACACGGGGCACCGATACTGAGAGGCATGGCTCGGTAGCCAAGGCCATGAATGCAAGTGACCGCCATAAGTAGTGTTGGCAGCAGAGGTCCCATAGAGTGGTAACCTCAGGACTAATCATTCTAAAATGCTAATATAGGGCAGGACTTCTGGAATGGAGAAGAGAGGCTCGTGGCACATACCCTCCCCCAAAAGCAACAATAAAATTGGAGCACCGTGGAATCCAGCCAAAGGCATACAAAAGGTTGGGAAGGGTTTACTCAAGAAAAATGACTGAAGCTGAGTGAGAACAGTGGGGTCTGTTGGTTTAGCCTCGAGTGTGTTTGTTCTCCGACCTCGTCTCTGTCAGTAAGGAACTTCACTGCAGAGAGGGGCTGACCCAGTGTAGATCAGTCGGAAAGCGGAAAAAGCCCACACCCCTGGCCATTGTCAGATACAGCAGTGATCTCAGTGGCAAACGATCGAGGAATGACAATGTCATAGGCTGACATGGTGGTCCTAACTGGGACGAGAAACAGCCTGGTGAGCTAGCCAGAATTCTAATAGGGGGCTCTGAGGAATGAGACAGCTGTCATGAGCCTTGATCAGCTTCTACATATCTCTCTGGGGGGCTGGAGGCTTGTGTACATGGACAAGGTTGCACACACACTCGGGAGAGACCAGAGAGGATATCGACACGTTGCTGGCTGAGTTCCCCCCAACACACACACAGTAGACACAGGAGGTGGAAAATAAAAGCCACCGAAGACTTATAAACCGTCTAAACTTGGAACTGGCCCCCCAGGCCACGCACAGATCCGTTGTCAAAGGGTGTGGAAGCTTTCTTGGCTTAAGGTGGGTGAGCACAACTTCTGACCAATCAGTGAGTAGTCGGGGCCAGGAGGCCAGGCTTACACACAAAACCAAAAGTTTTTGAAAGGGGCACAGACATCAGTGGCTGTGTGCCCCAGGGGAGAAAGATGTCACAGAACTGGCGGTCCAGGCAAATTACTAAACAAACAAAACACCAGCAACCACCCAGGGAGTGGGGAGTAGGGAACCAGATTCCTGAGCTGCTACAATATATGATCTAAAACTTCCAGTTTTGAACACAAAAAGGAAAGTATGGAAACAGGAAAGTATGACACGTACTCAGGGAAAAGAAAATCAGTCCATAGCAACTCGCTGAGAATTCTCTTAGACAAAGACTTCAAAGAAGCTATTATAAATATGTTCGGGGGTGACTGGCTGGCTCAGTTCGTAGAGCATGCAACTCTCAGTCTCAGGGTTGTGCGTTTGAGCCCCACGTTGGGGCTAGCGATTAATTAAAAATAGAATCTTTAAAAAATATATGTTCAAAGGATTGGAAGAAACCATGTTTAAGGAAGTAAATGTATGTATGATGACAAAGATGTATCGATCAGGAAATCTCAGCACAGAGAGAGAAATGATAAGATAAGAACCAATCTGGGGGCGCCTGGGTGGCGCAGTCGAGGGAGTGTCTGACTCTTGATCTCCGCTCGGGTCATGATCTC